GAAGCAGACTCGCCAATTATCTTGATCTAACTACGCTAAGCTCTAAATTCACATGGGAAAAATCCCTCGATGAGCTATTCCAAAATGGCCCAAAAAACACAAAAACACAAGTTATTATAACTAGGCTTTGGCCTCAACCATCCGCCAGAATGCTAATACATAAAGCGCATAGCTCAATACTCCACCTATGCTTGTCACGATTGTAAGAGTATGAATTCTTCTGTACAAATTGATCTGTGCCGCTATAGACACAGTTTCGCTCAGCAAGAGAAATATACTTATTATTATTATTATTATAAAGCGACACTTGTCCTAAAGCCGCTGCGCGACGGCCGATGCCGCATGGCATGATTCATAGCTGAGGCTGGACTACGATACTGCCAGGGCGTCCACACCTGACAGAACAACTGGGGTCCTCAGCCAGACTCCGAGAAAATGTATACACAAAAGACTGCGGACTCTAGGCCATGAGGCGGTGAACCGACTCACCCAGCGGTCGCCACGAGGTGGCCAGGATATGAATTCACAGCATAACCATCAATATGTACTGGGTCTGTTCCACTACAACAGACTTTCATTTGGAATACAAGCGGCACTGGTAATATCTCAGAGGGTTATTGATAATTTAGTGAGAGAAATACCGGGTTTATGAGCTTAGGTAGATGTCATTCTAAGTTCCGGTTGCATTGACCGCGAACATATGACATCGCTTGCGACGGTCTTGAAACGACTCCAAGACAGTAGAGAGAAACTGAAGGAACCTAAATGTGCATTTTTCGCCGACAGTGTTCAGTAACCTGGATTTCGTTTGGATAAACACGGTTTGCAATCGTTAAGGAAAAAATCCAGCCAATCCTTCATTCGCAGAGGCCACGCAACATCAGTGTTGAAATCATTTCGTGGTACGGTAACACACTATAGTTGCTTCCTGCGAAAAAATGCCAAGTGGCAGTGGTCAGCAAAAAATCAGAACTCTTTCGATGCTGTCAAAACAGACATGGCCAAGACTAATCTGTTGGTACATTTTGATCAGAGGAAGCCTATCACTCTCCGATGTTACGCTTCATTATCAGGGATCGGTGCCGTACTGTCCCACAAGATGAATGACCGAAATGTAAGACCCATCGCTCCTGTCTCTAGGAGCTTAGCGTCGGCAGAGAACTACGCACAGTTGGATAAGGAGGAGTTGGCAGTTATATTCGGTGTTAAGAAATTTCGTCAGTATGCAGACGTTGCAAAATCTTTACTCATCACAAACCCCATAGTAGCCTTGATTGGTGAACATAAAGGCATCAACCAGATGTCATTTCCCCGCATGCAACGTCGAGCCTTACTGCTAACAGCTTACAATTACACTATCGCTTATGTACCTGAAAATGCAAATAGGATTGCGGACGCCTTGAGTTAGTTTCCGTTGAATCTATCTGCCCGATCGTGCATTTGAACTGGTTGAATTAATTGATTTAATGCAGCACTTGACCAGGAAGCCGGTGTTGAACAAGAAAATCCGCCATGGAACAGAGCGTGATGTACTCCGATGCAAGGTTAAAGGTTTGGTCGTCCAAGGATGTATGGATAAATGTGACCCGGAATTGTTACCTTACCTCACCCGACGTAGAGAATTCAGCCTCGCGGGTGATTGCCTCTTATGGGGGTCCAGAGCTATTATTCCGTCTCGATTACGACAGTATGTGCTAGGGGAATTTCACGAAGCTCACCCAGGTATCACCGGAATGAAAGGGCTCGCGCGGTCTTATGTGTGGTGGCCCGGCATGGATAACGAGATAGAAAGATTAACCAGACACTATGAAGCATGTCAAAGTACAGAAAGAAACGCTCCGCCGGTGCCACTGAGTCGATGAAAATGGCCCGACAAGCCGTGGGAGCGCATACATACAAACTGCTTTGGTCCGCTTGATGGGGTGATGTTTTCTCTCATCGTCGATGGGTACTTCAAATGAATTGAGGTATTTCCTATGACATGACGAATTAGCGTCATCGCATTTCCAACCCCAAACCTGGAATAAAAAACTGAGTTGATCTGACTTCTAATCTGGTAGGAGTAGCTCTCAAGGGACCCGAAGGCACCACAGTACAGCTCAATGGGTCGAAAAGTTACACAAACCGTCGTACCAATTAGAGGCGTCGTCGTCCATAAATGATGAAAGCTTTGAAAGGCCACTCGAGCCCCACAATACATTAAGATATCCCTACGTTGATTTCATCGAGTTAAACAGGAAAACCGACGGATCACCTTAAACGGTCGCTCGTCAATAGTGAGAAATAGTGGTACGTGACTCAACCGGACAAACAAAATCGACCTAAATACATAGAGTATGCGGACGCCAAAGACCGATCGAAATGTGGCTTCAAATGTGTGAGGCAATTCCAATTCGAACTCGATTCGTCTGCCCTTTAGTCATTGACAGCAGACAGTGCCATTCAATGCAATTGCCGAGCAAGCACATCCGAAGCCGAACGCTTAACTGAGGCACAGAGAGCGAATATTAGGCGGTATGCATGATCAGGATAGAGACACGAGCGCCAGTAAGCTTGCACCGATCTGCAGTGTGATCAATCTCAGTCCAGAGTACCGTTGTCCTGCGGACGTTATGTAACTCGATGCGAAGGTCTGTGGCGGAAACTTGTTGCGCCAAGACAAAGCCCTTGATTAGAACGCACCTTACGAAAGCGAGTTCTACTGTAAGTGCAATAAACATGAACCTAAAAGTTTCTCCTGAGGTGGTATCTTGACTGCAATAGGCGAAACGATTCACATGGATGTCGCGCGCAGCGTGCACAATCTACATACCTATGGTTAAATGAGGTGTAGAAGAAAGCTACTAACAGAACCCATGCTTGACAGCCTCCAAAATGCAGTCCTCGGGTGCGTAGATCAAAACGACGTAAAGGCACCTTAAACCAGTTGCTGCTTATTAATCCCGATGAAGTTCGGAAGTCAAATGCCAGACGTGCGGTTATTCACTGGGATTCCGCATAGGAGGGAAGACATCATAAATGGCGCAAGTCATCAACATGACATGACGCAAAACGTGTAAGTCCCGCCACTAGGAACCACGTTTGGTAGGCGCAGATGCTTTCGGACACTCGTAATCAGTATGTGTGGTTTGTAGACATAGCATACCCAGGAGAAAACGTAGAGTCAAAGTGATTGGGCGTGTTGACTGGTTCAATAGAACAGGGAGGTTGACGGATCTAAAGCGGAGCAAAGCCGCAAGCATAAATCATGACCAAGCTTTCGCGCTGGTGTGGCTGAGGAAGCCAGCCGCGGTCTCCTGATAATAGGAGAAGAGTAGTGCAAAAAGGTAGCATAAGAAGGTGGGATGCTATAGGCGACGGCGCTATATTGGTATCTGGTACATTTCTGCTTCCAATTCCGATAGATGGGCTTTGTTCGAAGTGTCTTTAATTCAAAAGTCTAAACCAAAAGGCAGCAGACTATGCAGATGGCTGTCGTTGAGAATACTTGTAGATCGAAATGTGGATGACAAAGTTAGGTTATTCCCGGAAAGTTGCACCGACAATGTGGTCCAGTCTGGCAACGAAACGTCTGTAACCAAAGTACTCAGGTCAGAGAACAACTTAACGCCTCAGTAAATGAAGCTTCTTGATCGACTCCAAGTGGGGACTTTGAGTAAATGGATTAGCCAACAATGCATGAGAAAGTACGTCCAGCTTGGAAGCGTGATTTCGGGGTCCCACTAGAATATGCTCCGGTCGTATCGCACACAAGATTCGGAACCAGCTGTGCATGCTTTTTGACCACAAAAACCCATGCACTTGTGACTTCACTTGACTGCAAGCGAATTATGGAGCGCTTACATTTTCTGAGCATGATCAGCTCAGCTCGAAGTGGATGGCATCAAACCAGTAGCGCAGTGTTTCCCTCTGTCATACACAACCCGTGGCAGCGCTCGTACTCCCCGACAATTGACTTGAGCTTCTAAGCTGTACACTGTCGTCTTACATGGTCAGTTTGAAGAAAGATGATCATCGACCACTCGCCAACCTCTGATGATGAGGAAGTGGAAGTTGCGTTCATCTAATTCCAAGCCACTGAAGTGTCGGACATGGGTGGGTATGAAGGCTCATTGAGTAACGGGGCATCCATACTATTGCACAACACTAAAGAGTTCAGTATCGTTGGGGTTTCGAATCAAGAAAAAGACACATTTGGTGTGGCAGTGTAAGTGACATGGGATGCAATCGAGGCAGTATACGGTGCGAAAGAAAGCCTCGTTTTAGAGGAGTCGCTATCGATGCAACGCCAGTCCGTAGGCTAAAAGCAACGAGCTTGGGTTGTAATCTGATCGCGCGGATTCGAGCCTGCGTAGGAGCAGGGTGACCCTCGCAGTATCTTTAACCCATGTGCGACCGGTGGTGGTTGTGCGGCAGCGAAGCGTCGATACTGAGTACCGGCGTACTGCTGACGCCTGTTTTATCGATGTAGCGAGCTAACAGATAGTACGCAGATGGTCAATGGATGAACAGCCAAACCGCGTACCGATGGCTATTTGTCTGCTCGATCAGCGACCAAAATTTTCATTCTAGATGAAGCCGGGATGTGGCTATTTACAAACAAGGCGAGTAAAAATTTGGCGCGGGGTGGTGATTTCTAACAAAAACACGGTGTGAGCTCTAAGGTGGTTAACTAAACGATTGCGAAGACTTTAGGTTGAGGGGCGATTGTATTTACCGTTGACGGCAAAAGATGGGAACTCATAGGGATGGCAGATCCCTAGAAAGTGCCCAGAAAATGCAAAGGAGGATAGCATATAAAGGAAAACAAAGAAAAATGTGCTGAAACATGCCGAATGCTCAAGAAAGTGACCAATGAAGTGGTAGCAGACCTCAGCTGTCAGAAAATTCGTGTTCACCCGCTTACTTACGCTTAACAATGGAATATGGGTGGAGAAAGCCATAGAAATCGTTTAAACAAAAGAATGCACAAAGTTAGACAGCTGAAATAATACACGAACCCCAATCAGTCATCCCATGGTCTGCGGTTAAGATAAATGCGACTCGAACATCTAGCCCAGCAGAAGCACGATTGACCTCAGCAGTTACTTGGGCAATCAGAGAATCCAGATGATGCACTAAATTGCGGTATTCTGGTGAGCCAGGCTTGAGTGAATGACCAATCATGTCCGCGGCGTCCAGGTGCAAGAAAGCAACATGCCCACGGCGCATCCCAAAGGTATCCCAATTGGTCGACCCGAGATGGGAGAAAAATCCTGACTTTTTATCGCTTAGCATGCTCTGCAAAAGGGTCAAAAGCGTAATGATAGATGGATGGTAGAGAGCAAAAACGTGTGGAAAGACAACTCTGAAAAAGTTCTACGAATATAAATTTGCACGCGAGCTAAACTCGACATCCCAAAGAGTTGGACACAATGTGGTGATGAACCGAAAGTTGTGGAACTCACGGGACGTCTGAGATGACAAGTGTTAAAACACGCAGAAGAAATCGAAAGCGCAGAAGCCTGCTTAGCAACCGTACGGGCATACAGAATAGCCGCGATGAGCGAATATGATGAACAAAAAGGAGTGACTGACACATCCCTAGATCCACAGTAAGGTAAACCGAGCGGCTGTGCTTTCGAATGCACTTCCTCCGTCAAGAAACTTAGTTTCTGACTATGGATGAGATTAGAAGCTTCGAAAATAAGAGACCGATCTCAAATTAAATCACACATAACCTGAAATATGTAGAAAAGTAAGAGGAAAAGCTTGAAGTTCAACAATTCTTTCCATAGAAAAATTATGGAAACTGATATTGCAAAATCAAGCACAAACAGATACGCTGTTGTTGTAAAGGACCAAAAAGTAGGTGCCGCGGGTTAACCTTGTGATTTTTAGACCCAGCTTTGCGGGACGCGCAGACTAAGTATGCTGATCGGTTTCAAAACAAAATTACGGAATTTAGTTACATTATCGATACCGAGTGGCCATTTGATGTGTGGTTCCAATGCTGGGAAGAAATGACGCAGTAAGGTTGCCACTGACCAAACATAGATGAACAATTAAGGTCCGGTAAACGTGAAGTAGGAAAAGACAGAGAACAACACGTCTGATGAAGCGGCATCATAGCAGTATGATATCTTTTTGCTAATAAACATTGTCCAGCACCGGGCAACAATGTAAAGATGACTATGAGTAGGAACCATTGCGCTTCTCGATAGATGGTTGGCCTGAATATTTCATACTCATAGGTGTTTTACAGCCAAATACGATACCGAAATCTGTAGGCAGCCCCACCTAAGTTATATAAGGAGACGGTTATGGCTACCACCCAACAAACTGATCCGGACATACACAAGCTTCGATCAAACACCTCTTTGGAACTACGCGAAGTCCCACTGATTTCATCTGAGGGGACCATTCATTGTGACGTCTCACAAACATCTCCTCGCCATATCGTTTCTACGACAAGGCGTCGATAAGTTATTAATGTACTACACAACCTCTCTCATCAGAGCATACATACTTTCCAGAAGATGGTAACGGAACGCACCGTGCGGTCAAACGTCAACCGTGATGTTCACATTTGGGATCGCATATGCCTAAAATGTCAGCGCGCCAAAATGTACAGATACACCAAAAGCCCACACGGCGTTCTACCCGCTCCTGACTCTAAATTTGCACACGTTTACGCTGACCTGGTCGGCCCATTGCCACCACGCAAAGGCTACGTCTACCTCCTCACCTGTATCGACAGATTTACACGTTATCCATAAGCGACTCCAATTCTCGACTGCTCATTTGAGACAGTCGCATGCGCTCTCCCAGGTGGGTAGCACAAGTTGGCTGTCCTGATGTAGTTAACACCGACAGAGAATCACACTTTGACGGATCTTGCAGTAAACTTTGCAACGTACTTGGTTCCCAACACAACCGAAGCACCGCATACCACCTCGCAGCTAAAGGAATGGTAGAAAGGTTCTATCGACAATTCAGAGCATCATATTATGCCCAGTTTAACACATCTTGACACGAAGCACTTCCGCTCGTCCTCTTAAGCATAAGGAAGACGATTAAAGCGGACTTGTATGCCGCACCATCATCGCTAGCATTTGGTTGCGCACAACGCTTACCTGGTGAACTTGCTTCAAAAAGTACCTTCTCTGGCATACCTCGTGTAAAATCGAAAATATACCTTATCATGGCGACTACGCAGCTTGCCTATCACATCACGTGCCACAACTTCAGCCTGTGCAACCCAGAGCATAGAACATGTGTGCCAATGAGGACGAACGCCTAGCATTCATATGTTCGTTCGTACCGACAGCGTAAGCAGACCAATTCAACCTCATTCTGACCCATACCGCGTCGTACGCAGAAGCGACAAGACATTTACTATTGATTACAGTGGAAAACCTGAGACAATCAATATTGACTAACTCAAGCAAGCATTGCTTGAGGACTCTGATTCTAGTGTACAACAAACACCAACACAAAATGTTTCGGAAAACTGGTAGCTCGGGTTGTTGATTCGGTTGCTCATTCGTTCACCGTTTGGAAATTAGTTTGCAAATGTTTCGCCACCATGCGAGATGGCATCATCAGTGTGCTGAGATGTAATGTAATCTCGCTGATTCAATTGTCAATCCACGATCGGCGTGCAGTTGACTTTTGTAAGTGACGGCTTCGATCTGAGCCCCATGATCTCTACCCATTTTCCACACGGGGGGAGTCGTCGTTCGAGTTGTTCCTATTCAAGCCACGTCTTGTAATTTTTAAGCTTTTTTCCGTCGGAGGGGCTGGTAAACCGGGTCGAGGTCGATGTGCACGTTGATTGAGTCCTTTGTTGAGAAGCATGCTTCCAGAAAGTTCCTTTCTCTTCTTGTTTCGCCTCGTGCCAGGACTTCTGTTTACGCCCAATCGAAGCTGTGCGTTCGCATACGTGCCCTGAGACTAGCGATGATGCATAGTGCCTTTTGCACGCTCATTTGTGCTTTTGCATTCGTGTTGTTAATTGTCTACCTGTTTACCAAACATAATCCTTTCGCAAATACTACAACGTATTCTTTTAGGTATTGCGGCATAGTAGCTGAGGTGTTTCCCACCTCTAGCTAACGTGTATAGTGTGTGTATATTCTATATACAATACTACGTTGCCCATGAGCTTCCAGTTTGATTTCGGTTTTGACAGAGTTTTCCTCAATGTGGCAGTTGGTTTGTGTGCTACGATGAGGTGATGTTGTTTGAATAGTCTTGCTGCCATTTCGGATATGCTCTTCATATAAGGCAAAACAACGCGTTTTCCCGTCGTTGGTGTAGCGTCTGTTCGGTTTGTTGCGGTTCAGACACCTTCGGGTGAAGCTTCGCGGGTATCCGTTGAGTTGGAAACATTTAAATAAATGCTTCTCTTCTTGTTGCTTTGCCCCCGCGGCACTGCAGTGTGTTTGCCCTCTACCAAATAATGTCCGCACACAGCTTCCTTTGTGGCATTCCGAGTAATTACTGCTAAAGTTCAGCATTTGGTCCGTATGTGCGCCGTAGGGAAAATGGGTAGAGATCATGGGACGCAGTTCGAAGTTGTCACTTTCAAAAAGTCAACTGTACGCCGATCACGGATTGACAATTTACTCAGCGAGATTACATTCTACATCTCAGCGCACTGATGATGACACTTCGCATGGTTGTGAAACGTTTGCAAACAAATTTCCAAGCTTTGCGAACGAATGAGCAACTAAAGCATCTTCTAAGCCTACATCATCACGGTCTGCATCGCAACAGATCAGTCACTCCGCAGCAGCGAAATCTACAACCTCAACCGACCTCACACCTACTAGAAGCACTATCAACCAACGTGGTAGGGAGGTCTAACCCCTCGTTCGTTAGCACTGATTTCCGGTAGAGCACGCCTCTCACATATCATGCCCCGTTTACGTGCTCTTACATATGTTTTCAAAATAGAAAAGGAGTAAAACGTTCTGAACTACCAAAAAGAGCAAAATATTTTGAAAACCTAATAACCACCTCGTACCTTCTCACACAACAGCCTGTGTGCATAGCTACATATTTACATTGTTATTCTTCATTTTCCTTTCCATTTTCACACCGAACGTTCGTTGCCTCTTTGTTGCACGTTTCGTTGGGGCCCCGCAGCTCAACTGGAAGAAGGTCGAACTCCGTCATCAGCCAGCTACCGACACTATTATGTACTGTTCCCTCTGCACAAACATTATTTTCCCTTTCGACATAGTACGGAGGACACGGGTGAGAGCCCGCTAGGGTCCGATTGCACGATTCTCCCCCAGCAGCTGTATCCGGTTTCACCACCTGGTCTCACAGAAGGCTAGTCCGCGACAGACAGTCCTCACGTAGATCAATGCACAGTCCCTTTTGGGGGAGAGTTATATAGCAGTATGAAGATTTTCCAGGTTTGCATGCGTAAAGATGTAAAAAGTACTACTTCATGGTACCCTTAGATGACCGTTGTGGATTGTTGAAATGCAAATTGAGTTCGATTTCTTGAGTCAAGCACCGCTTTTGATTGGCGCTTGTTTCGGCTGCGATACTCGATAGATCTTGTGGGCCGCACTTTTACATTTCCCTTGGCTAGCAGTGTCAACAGGGTCCAATTTTATAGCAAAGCCAGCAGAGAACATCTTACTTTAGAAAATAAAAGCTTCCCTGCAACTCCACGTGCCATTTGGAATCTCTACCTGGCTTCCCGCTAAAAGACTTCTTACAGTGCGTGCAGATAACCACTTTTTCTCTCTAGGACACCAGCTGCAATCAAACGAGGAGACTTGACGCCACTTAGAGCCTCACTCCACCAAAGCAAACATTCTCTCTCAAATTGGTCATACTGCCAGCAGTTTCAAGTGGCTAAAGGCAATGTACAGAATCACAGGTCTGGACGGTCCACCTTCCTTGACATAGTTCACGCGCTGATCTGGGCGAAATCTGCATGAATTAGCGGGTGTCAAAAACTAAGTACAGCTAAGTTGATATAAACAGGCCAACCGCTCTGCCGATTCAGCCAAGCTACAAAGCTTCGCTAGTAGATTCCCTCGGTTGCAATCCTTCGCAAGATGGCCTTCATGAGGAAGATGATGACCTCTTCCGGATAGTCAATCTGCGATCTTACTCGACACTTTATGAAGACCTAGATTTCCACTAGCTCCCTAGACTTGTTTGACAAACGTAAAAATATTCAAGCGAAGTCCGATTAGAATGAAGTGCGTTTTGCTGTCAGCCAGCAACTAAAACAAGGCCTGCGCAGTGATCGTGAACACTGTGACCTTAGT